ACTAGAACCAGGATAACTAATGAAATCTACCGCAGATGTCTCTGCACCACATTGCAGTCACAAAACTGATTTCAATCTAGACATACTCTAGATCAGGAGTGGCCAACCCACAGCACATATACCATAAGTGGCACAGGCATTCTCTGTATACGGCATGCAGCAGACTGGGGAGAGAGCAGGGAGCACAGTGACAGGGGTTGGTGCTTAGTCCTGTACTTTTCAACATCTTCATCAATGATTTAAAAGAGGGGGTGAAGAGCTCACTGGCCAAGTTTGCAGATGACACCAAGTTATGGGAAAGCATGGTGTCATGCTTGAAGATAGGCTACAGATACAGGTGGATCTAGACAGGCTAGTAAATTGGGTGAGTCAGAACCAGATAAAATTCAATGTTGAGAAATGTAAAGTGCTCCACCTGGGGATGAACAATCCCCTGCACACCTATAGGCTTGGGAACGCCAACCTGACCAGCACTACAAATGAAAGAGACCAAGGGGTAATAATAGACCACAGCATGAATATGAGCCAGCAGTGTGATTCTGTTGTCAGCAGGGCAAATAATACTCTGGCATGCATCAATCAGTGCATCTCCAGCTAGAACAAGGAGGTGATTTTTCCACTCTACTCAGCACTGGTGAGCCCCAACTGGAGAACTGTGTCCAGTTCTGGTCGCCTCACTTTAACAAGGATGTGGGACAACTTGAGAGAGTCCAAAGAAGGGCTACCCATATGATTAGAGGCTTGCAAGGAAAGCCATATAAGGAAAGGCTGAGGGACCTGGGACTCTTCAGCCTGAAAAAGAGAAGGCTGAGGGGACTTGGTAGCAGTTTACCGCTACATCAGGGGACTACATTAGGGGATCGGTGAAGAAGTGTTCACCAAGGCACCCTTGGGGAGAACCAGGATTAATGGCCACAAGCTCCTGGAAGACCATTTCAGGCTCAACATTAGGAAAAACTTCTTCACAATTAGGGTTTCCAAACTGTAAAATAAGCTCCCTCCAAAGGTCCCCTGGAAATCTTCAAGAGGAGACTGGATAGTCATCTTGCTGGGGTCACCTGACCTTACCTGTCTTTCCTGCCTAGTGCAGAGGGCTGGACCCAATGATCTTCTGAGGTCCGTTCCAGCCTTATAGATTCACAGATGTTAGGGCTGGAAGGGACCTCAATAGATCATCGAGTCCAACCCCCTGCATAGGCAGGAAAGGGTGCTGAGTTCAGATGACCCCAGCCAGATGCCTATCTAATCTCCTCTTGAAGACCCCCAGGGTAGGAGAAAGCACCACCTCCCTTGGGAGACCACTCCAGATTTTGGCCACTCTAACTGTGAAGAAGTTCTTCCTAATGTCCAGTCTAAATCTGCTCTCTGCTAGCTTATGGCCATTATTTCTTGTGACCTGCAGGGGCTCCTTGGTGAGTAGAGCCTCACTAATTCCCTTCTGTGCCCCCGTGATGAATTTATACGCAGCCACAAGGTCGCCTCTCAACCTTCTCTTGCGGAGGCCGAAGAGGTCCAGGTGCCCTAGTCTCTCCTTGTAGGGCTTGGCCTGCAAGCCCTTAACCATACGAGTGACCCTTCTCTGGACCCTCTCCAGGTTATCCACATCCCTCTTAAAGTGTGGCGCCCAAAACTGGACGCAGTATTCCAACTGCGGTCTGACCAGCGCCCGATAGAGGGGAAGTATCACCTCCTTGTTTCTGTCTGTCATGCATCTGCTGATGCACGATAAAGTGCAGTTAGCTCTGCTGATGACTTCATCACACTGCCGTCTCATGTTCATCTTGGAGTTCACTAGGACTCTGAGATCCCTTTCCGCTTCCGTGCTGCCGAGCAGGTCATTTCCTAGGCAGTAGGTGTGCTGGACATTTTTCCTCCCTTGGTGCAGTACTTTGCATTTCTCCTTGTTAAATTGAATTCTATTGTTTTCTGCTGCCTGTAGTTGTTCCCTGCCCTCCGGTGTGTCCACTTCTCCCCACAGTTTTGTATCATCCACAAACTTGGACTGATGAAGACATTGAAGAGTATCGGTCCAAGGACCGAGCCCTGCGGGACCCCACTGCCCACGTCCTTCCAGGTCGATACCGACCCGTCCACCATGACTCTCTGGGTACAACCCTCTAGCCAATTTGCCACCCACCGGACTGTGTAATCATCCAAGTCACAGCCTCCTACTTTGCTCACCAGTATGGGGTGGGATACCGTATCAAAGGCTTTCCTGAAGTCTAAGTAAATGATATCTACCCCTACTCCTGCATCCAGGTGTTTTGTAACCTGGTCATAAAAAGAGACTAGATTAGTCAGGCATGATCTACCTGCTACGAACTCGTGCTGGTTTCCCCTCAGCATAATATTTCCTGCTGGGCTCTCACAATCTATGAATCTATAGCCACCTACAAGTACATCGGGGTGAGCACCAAGATCTGGGGAAGCAACTCTTCAGGAAGGCACCCCTTGGGAGGGTGAGAACCAATGGTCACAAACTAATAGAGGGAAGACTTAGGCTGGACATAAGGAAGAACTTCTTCTCTGTAAGGGTAATTAGAACCTGGAACACACTGCCGGCAGAGGTGGAGTGGTCCCCATCCTTGGAGGTTTTCAAGGGTAGGCTGAATAAGCACCTTGTTGAGCTAGTTTGAACTTGTTAACCTCCTGCCTATGGCAAGGGACCAGACTTGAAGATCTTGCAGGTCTCT